CTGTACACAAGAGATTTCGTAGAGTTCTACGAGGAATTTTGTTTTTTATGGCAGCTTCTCTTTGCGATGCTCCGTTTTGCACAGCTTTGAAAGCCTCCTCCAATTGACCTTCTGTCCAATTAGCTCTACTTTTTCCATTAGCAGTTGCCATTTCCAAAGACAATATTTTGAATATATATTTTTTTAATAAATAGTATTTAAGTCTATAAAAATAAATATATAATTTTTTCTTTTAAAAAACAACAATTCATGAATTGATTAAAAAGTAAAAAATAAATATTTTCAAAAGTAGTAAAAGTAAAAAATCTATAAATTCCAGAACAACAACGTTTTTGTTATTAATATTTAACAATTTTATTTATTTACACTAAAGTTTGTTGTTTATTGTTTGTATATTACTTTTCTTAACTATTTTTTTTATTTATGCTGAACTTAAGTCAGTTTCACGTTGTTTGTTTTAATTACTTTTCTTAATGATTTCTTTTATAACGCTAAACGAAAGTTTAGCGCATTTCTTTTATTATTACAGCTGACCTCACGTTTGGCCCTTATTACCCAATTTTTAGTGGGCTTTATTACCCGCTTTGAACTTGTTACATTTATCGATAAAGTATCGTTTTATTTCAACACTTGCATAAACATTACATGTTGAGTAATGATAACGAATAAGTACCTAATGCACTTGAAAAAAATAGAAGCATTATAAAATATTTTGAAATGTTAAAACATGTATCTTAAAAATTAGACCTGAACAATTTTTGACAAAACCAACAAAGTAATCTTGCTTTGTCGAACGCGCGGTAAAGAAATGCTGATTTTTTTTGCTGCCAATGATAAAACCAGATAACTCTAATATTTTAATGTCGTAAAAAAGTTTCACAATTTATTTTTTCCCTAAGTTTGGATTAGCGGGTCTTATTACCCGCCAGGCCTTAATACCCACACCCACCTTATATCTTAATAACCTTAGATGTAGGAAGCCAATACTAAAGTGAAAGTTAATAGTTATTATAAAATAAAATATGTTAAGTTTGCTAACTTAAGAGTAGGATTCTGAAAATAAAATTAATGTCTTATTTAAATTTGTTTACATTACAAGTAATGAGCGATATAACTCATTAAGCTATCAACAAAAAATCAGAAATATACCAGGATAGCTGTGACTTAAAAACTGTAAAGCCTTATTCTTATTATTTGGCCTTTGGAAAGTGGAAAAGGTTTAGATTAATTCTGAATCATAAAAAGAATTATGGAGCAAGATCACTACCTTTAGGTTTAGCAATACAGATTGCATACTGTCTAGTGGTTGTCTGATACCAATGTCCTGTTTTATAATAACAGTTAAGATCTGAGCGATGCTTCAAGTTTTTATAATTTCATTTTGATAAATAATGTAATGTAATATTGTAATATTTGTAAAAAATATAATATAAAAAACGATCAAATGGAAAACAGTCCTTACCATGTGTCTCCACACATAAATGTAAAATTGCAATATATATGAATATATGTATAGAAGAAAAAGGGGGGCACATTAGGATACTTTTAAAAAAAGATATTACAACTTTCATACCGTTTAAAAAAGATATTACAACTTTCATACTGTTTGAAAAAAAGTTGAAATTTTTTCTGAAAAAGGTAATTAACTATTAATTCTTTTAAAAAAATGCAAACGTGAGCTAGTTCACACTGGACCAAATGCGCAATAACTTGCACCAAAAACTACGCGCACTTATCTCAACTATTTGAGTTAAAATTTTATATTATAATATGGACAACCTATGCTATCAAAAATGATCTGGACTTGCACTCAGAATACAATATTATACTCTAAGAAGGTCATGATATTACTACCATGTCAAGTTAAAATCAAATAAAGATGTATTCCCGAACGCGAATTTGAATATCACATTATGACATTCTAATGAGAAATATTTTTTATCTTTTTTATGCAACTTTCAATCAAACTTTGATAATTTTATTACATAAATGATGTAAATATAATTACAAAAAATATATTTAATCAAATATAATAAACTTATTATATAAGATAAAGTGTATTTATTGTAATTATAGCTGTGATTATATTATATTACTTTATAATTAATCTAAGTGTAATATGGTTGAAATAGTATACAAAAAAAAATAGTTTAATCCATATTTGATTTGTATACTTGTACTGTACTTCGGAAACTTTATACACAATTTTTTTTTATCAGAATTAAGTTAATCAGAGATTCTAACTTTATCTGTGCCTTATCAATCTAAATTCGAAGTTTCGATTTTGTCTTTGCTTTAACTTTAAATTTAGTTTCAATATTTTTATTGGTTTTTAAGTTTAACACTTTATTTCTATTCACGAAATACTTTCAAAACATGTTTGTTCTATAAACATAAGTTTTATATACAGCATTATTGTCACACTACGTGTTTGTTAAGAAACACTAAAAAAATTTAATATCAAATTAAAGAACAAAATTTAATACCAAAATTTTTTTTATTTCAATAGTGGTATTATTATGACTACATAATTGACATTATGCATACACAAGTATTTACATAATTTGTAAAATAGTACTGAATAAAAAATATTTAATAACTGTTTATAACACTAATACAAAATTTTTCAAATTAAATAAATTTAAATTACTAAATAAAATATATTAAATATTTTAAAATGGTATATAAAATATGTGTAATATTGTTACACATATTTTATATATTACTAATTATTACTAATAAAACCTTTATGTTATTTTACAATCCTAATATTAAACTTCACAGGCATAAAAACAATGCAATATTTTTTATCAATGACTCCAACTTGCTTTTATTTGATATAAAAGCAAGTTGGAGTCATTGATAAAAAATGACAGTAAACCACAAATAAAACAGCGGAAATAATTACTAGATAATAATCTTGTTTTGTTGCATAAAACTCTTTGATTATATCAAAGAGTTTTATGCAACAAAGCAAGATTATTATCTAGTAATTATTTCCGCTGTTTTATTTGTGGCTTACTGTCATTCTAATTGCAGAATTGTAACCAAATGACGCAACTTGTGTTTCAATTTGCTCCAAAGGATTGAATATGTTTTTAATGTCCTATTGGATAGGCACAAAAACATCCAAACACTTTTTTGTACAATTCTTTAAATAAACATTTGTAAAAACATAATAAAAGATACTCTCTCATAACATGAAAAGCAACAAATAAATAAAATTTTTTTATTCTTTTTTTTTTTTTAATTATATATTTGCCGTACATATAACATTTACAAGTTTCGTAAATTAAAGGTGTAATATTTACAAGTCCAGTGAGTCAAAATATATAATGAAATTTATGATTAAATAGTACGGGCGGACTTCAAGAAGATCGTAACTGACCTTATCGCAAAGCCCTTACAATGTGGTTGATATATATTATGATTGATGTAGTTGATATATATTATGATGTTAAATATAATTATATATTAAGTACAACTATGTTTTTATAGTCTTTAGATTAAATTAAACTCATAGAAAAATATAAACTTAAAATAAGCTCAGGTTAAAAAATTAAACATAACAAGCAGCATAATAACTAAAGTTGATAAGAAATTCTTTATACATAAAATTAGACATAACTTCATTATACATAAAATTAGAAAAATCTGTAACTAAATATACTTTAAATAAGTGAAAAAAAATATATATATATATATATATATAAATTATTTTACTTATTTTGTAAAAAAACATTTGCTATAAGGTTCAGAATTATATGAAGATTTAGCTTATATAGTCTTATTTCATAATATACAAGGCAAAAATAACATAACAGCCTTAAAAAAATGTTATACATATTTTCCCATATTTTCAATACTTCTTCTCGCAAGACAATCTTTTATTTGTTTTATTTAGAATAAAATCACATCTTCTCATGATACAAACTGTGAAAGACGAACTATAGAATTTCTTTTCTTCTATTCTTGTCATAACTTTTTATTTCTTTAATTTTCATTTAAATTGGACTTTTTATTAGAATTAAAAAAAGTATAATGGCGTCTGCAAACGAAAATAGATTTTGTAACAGATTAACTTTTACGTTTGTCTGAAGCATTAAAATGTAACTTTCTTGTTAATAAACCTTTGTACAAGGTATAAGTTAATACAAAGTATACAAGATCATTATATTTTAATGCTTTACTTTTAAGATTAATGTTTTTTTTTTGCATGCGTTTATATAATTTGTATCCGTTGAAAATATAATTACTAATTTAACAATTGCATCATAAGTTATGTAAGTGTAGTCAAAATTATGCCAAAATCAAGTCAATATTTCTAGACTATTTTTTGCCAATATAATTATTTAAGCATCCCAATATAATTATTTAAGCATTCCAATATTATATAAGCTTGCCATTAAACAACATTTGGTCGGCTAAACAAAAAAAAGCAATTGTTCACAAGCAACTATAATATTTAACTACACTGTAAAAAATGTCACGCCAAATTGTCTAATAAAACTGCCATGTTAAGAAACCTGATTTAGCGCGCGACATTAGGAATTAAAATTGTCACGCGACGTCTGGATACTAAGTTTGGCGTGGCATTTATAATTAAAGTTCACGCGACTTTTAACTAATAAGTATGGCGTGACATATAAATTTTTTATTTGTCATGGGACATCTATAACATTATCGTGTCGCATGTCACTAAGCCCAATTTTTCGCGCCACTATAAAAGAACTTAAATGTGGCGCGTTAAACCGGGCTTGGTGACATGCGACACTATAGTGTTTTGATGTCCCGTGACAAATAAAAAACATAAATGTCACGTCATACTTAACTTCAAAAAATCACGTGATTAATTTAATAAAAAATGTCGCATATATGCACCATATTGTCCATATACTAGTAATATAATATATATAATATTGTCACATATTGTCATTATATTGACAAACAATTATTAAATGGCACACTTTATTTAAATAAATAAATAAAAACCAAAGAAATAATAAAAATTATATTTTATTTGTTTAAAAAGCTTAATCAAATATAAAGATTTAATTTTAAACTGTCTCGATGTTTTTATTCTAAGCTAAGAGTTTAACAGATTCAAAATACGAAGAAACAACAGCACAACTTTTCACAAGACTTTTTTTAGCTAAAGCCTGTTTGTACAAACAAACGGTAGTTGTAAAACATAATGCTGCAACAGCCCTAAAACTCCTCCTAACGATCTCGGGTTCGATATGTCCATATTATAATAATAAGCGATAAGTT